ATACCTGTGAGATTCTTCATGCCACCTTGCAAAGGCCACCATTTAGGGACCCGATTCCCAACACATGGGCAAGAAACATGAAAGAGGTTTGACCTCCATTTGAGTTTTGTACTTCCAGGACCAACTGGTTAATGGCTCAAATCACTGCTCTGCAGGGGCGTGCTCAGGGACATGGGTTAGTGGTGGGCCTGGCTGTGCTGGGTTGATGGCTGGACTTGATGATCTTGAAGGTCTTTTCCAACCTAAACAATTCCATGACTCTATGACCGTTAAAGATCCCTTCCAACCCAAACTATTCTATGCTAGTGCGATCTCCTTGCTCAGACACAAGAGCACACACCTGCCTGTTGCTCAGGAGGTAGAGGCAGGGATGGGCACACTGGAGAGTGAAGATGGGCTTGCATTCATCTCAGCCTGAGTCCTATGTTCATAGACCCCACTGTGATCTTCTTGAGCATCACAGCCAACAGCATCATCTCAAGATGGGGATTCCTGAGTATTTGCTCAACATAAGTTCGAGGGAAATCATCCCAACCATAGGAAATATTCCGATCAAAACCTTCCAGAAGGAAAAGTTATGGTGTGGGGAATATCCTCATGGCTGAGCTAGGAAGATGAGAGCCGTGGTTTGTGTTGAAAAGTGTCCCCTTTTAAACAGTCCCTGAGAGTAGCTGGGGTCCCTCCCGTGCTGCCCCAGGTCGCTGACACTTCCGATCCATCAGTCACGCTGCCTTCCACGTGGCCTGAGAAATAAGGTGATGTCACTTGCTAGCAGAGACACTTCTCCGTGGGACATCCATTTTTGTACATCCCGATGGGTGGGAACTCCTTCGGGAGGCCTTTGGGGGAGGTTCAGTCTGGAGGACACCAAAAGATGGGCGGATGAAGAGGGGTCAGTGTCTGGACAGGCAGCAATGTGCTTCGTATCCTCGTCCCCAGTCGTGACCGTGATGCTGAGCACAGCTTAGGTCCCTCACTGGTGCCACTTCCTCCCTGCTCTCATCTCTGGAGGGGTTGGACTCTGGCCCTGAGTGATCTGTGAGAGCAGCTGGGGGTGCTTGACCACCTGCACCAGGTCCAGAACTGCCAGAATCCTCAGGGATTCTAGGATGGACCTGAAGGGAGCCCGGAAGCCCAGGGATGGCATCAGGGAGTCCGACAGCCCAGTTGTGGGGAGAGGAGCATCAAGTGTGTTGGAGAACAGGGGAACCTTCTGAGAAATGACTTGGCACTGGGGCAGGGATGAAACGCTTAAAACATTTAAAACCTAAGGGCAAAACCCCAGGGCCAGCAGGGAGGAGGGGTCAGTGCAAGAGGAGGGATAAGATGAACACGTGGCACACGTTGTCTTTACAGAGGAGGGGACAAATTTGCTCTCACCCAGTCACGGCACCTGGCTTGGGGCTCACACGGGGACCATTAACCATCCGAAGGCGTTTGCCCAAGGGCATGGGAGGTTCAGGACGTGGCCTCCTGTCCCTGGTTGGCTTTACTGGAGCAGGGCTCCTGGTCTACCTGGCGTGCCTCTGCGGTGAGTGCTTGTTTGCGGCAGGATAGGAGCATCCTCGGAAAAAGAGGAGGATCTGCAGTAGGGGGAGGACTGGGCTTGCAGGTGGATGGGACAGAGCTTCTGACTCACAGCATTTAAAAAGGAAGAGAAAGCAGCTGATGGGATGGGAGATCTCATTAGCTGGGTAATTATCCTGCTGTCGCCCTTGCACAGAGCAGTTGGGAAATGCCTGGAGCCTGACCAACAGGTGACAGTCAAGCTCCGAAATTCCTATTTGTGTTGGCCACCTCTTCAGGGCTGACCAGTTTGTTTACAAAGGGCACAAAGTCCTCTTGCCCCCGACAGCACAAACAGAAGCGTTTATTCTGCTCTGCGCCGCCCTGCAGACACAAAGCCATTCCAGGAGGTGACTGACAGTGCTGCATGTGGGATGCCAAGCTGCTTTTCTTATATTTTTCCTGCCTCTGCCTGCCTCATATTCACAAAATCACAGAATCCTTTGGGTTGGAAAAGACCTTTAAGATCATCCAACCCAACAGTTAACCCAGCATTGCCAGGCCCACCAATAACCCATGTCCATGAGCGTCAGATCTACACGGCTTTTAAATCCCTCCAGAGATGATGACTCCACCACTGCCCTGGGCAGGGTATTCCCAGAATTGACAATCGTTTTGGTCACGAAATTTTTCTAAAAATTTCCCCCTTTCCATGAGACCCTTCTTTCCATCAGAAAGCTGCCAGCTGCTCCCTACATTCAGTTTCCTGAAGTTTTCAGTCCAGCAGCAGTGTTCTCCTTTTCGTTGACTAGGATTACAAATCCAAAAAAATATCTGCGTGCTCGCTAAAGAAAATTGTCATTTAAAACCAGGATTTGCAGGGCATTTTCTCACCTGGACTTCTTTTGTTGTTGTTATTCATTTTGGTTTGAGCCAAAGGAGAAGCAGGTGTGTGCTTCACACAACCCACCGCCTTTCTCAGAAGCTCTGCGAAACGCAGGGCAAGTGACAGTGTTCTTCCTCATCTGTCCCCTCCCTACCCCGTATCTCTCTTTTGCAGACCTGGCAACTTCCCAGCAGGTTCCCCTCCGTCTGTCCGGTGGTCCTCATCTCTGCGCTGGCAGGGTCGAGGTCTTCTATGAGAACCAGTGGGGAACGGTCTGTGACGACAGCTGGGACCTGCGCGATGCTGAGGTGGTGTGCCGGCAGCTGGGCTGTGGGGCAGCGGTTGAAGCCCCAGGCTTGGCTCACTTTGGCCAGGGACGTGATTCCATCTGGCTGGATGAGGTGAACTGCACGGGGACCGAGTCGGCGCTCTCCGAGTGTTGGGCATGGCCAAGAGGCATCCACAACTGCAACCATGGCGAAGACGCTGGTGTGGTGTGCTCAGGTACCTGCTCTTCCTCTGCCAATGAGCTCCCTTTAATATCATCAAGCCCATCCATTAACCAAACGCTGACACATCCGCAACTAAATCATGTCCCTACGTGCTGTGTCTGCCTGACTCTTAAATCCCTCCAGGGACGGGGACTCCAGCAATGCCCTGGGTAATGTGTTCCAATGCCTGAGAAATCCTTCTGTAAAAAAATTCTAACTAATATGCAATCTAAGCTTCTCCTGTTGCAGCTTGAACCCATTTCCTCTTATCTTAATGTTTGCTTCCTGGGAGAAGAAACCGACCCCACCACGCTCAAACTTCCTTTCAGGGAGCTGTAGAGAGTAAAGTCTCCCCTCAGCCTCCTCTTCTCCGGGCTGAACAGGCCCAGCTCCCTAAGACTTACCCTCTAGTCCCCTAATCATTCTGACTGACAGAATGAGGGGCTGGAACCTGTACCCACTCCAGCACCTCAATGTCCTTCTTGTTGTGACAGGCCCAAAACCAAAGAGAGCAATTAAGGTGGGACCTCATTAGCCGGGAGTAGAGGGGGTCAAACCCAACTCTTGACATTCTGGCCATAAGATTCCTCATGCAGGCCAGGATGCTGTTGGCCTTCTTGGCCACCTTGGCACACTGCTGGCTCAGGGACATCCAACTCTTGCTTTGTCCACCACCGCGAGGTGACACGTCACTTACCTTTCCATTGCAGAGCCTCCTGTGGTCCGGCTGGGGAACGGCTCAAATTGCTGCTCCGGGAGGGTGGAGGGGCTGCACAACCAGCCGACAGTGTGTGACCATGGCTGGGACATGCGTGATGCCGAGGTGGTGTGCCGGCAGCTGGGCTGTGGGGCAGCGGTGGCAGCCCCGGGCTCAGCTCGCTTTGGCCGGGGATGTGATTCCATCTGGCTGGACGAGGTGAACTGCACAGGGACCGAATCGGCGCTCTCTGACTGCAGGGCTAGACCGTGGGGAGTGAGTGACTGCAACCACGGCGACGATGCCGGTGTGGTGTGCTCAGGTAGCTGCTGTTTCTCTGCCAATGAACTCCCTGGTTCCAACAGTGCAGGTGCTTCCAGGACCAGTTTTGTTCTTTGTGACAATGACTTTGCATGGAGCAATCCTGCAATCTCTTATGGTTGAGTCAAGTCAGTTGCTGAACGTGTGGGGATTCATCCTCCCTCTTACATGTCACAGCATTGCACAGATTGGAAGAGACCTTGTCTGGAGAAAAGAAGACTCCAAGTAGACCTTATTGTGGCCTTCCAGTATCTTTAGGGGGCCTACAAGAAAGCTGGTGAGGGTCTTTTTAGGATGTCTGGTAGTGGTAGGACTAGAGTGAATGAATTAAAACTAGAGATGGATCAATTCAGATTGGACATTAGGAAGAAGTTCTTCACCATGAGGGTGGTGAGACACTGGAACAGGTTGCCCAGAGAGCTGGTGGAAGCCTCATCTCTGGAAGGCCAAGCTGGATGGGGCTCTGAGCAACCTGATCTAGTGCTAGATGTCCCTGCCCAGGGCAGTGGGGTGGAAGTAGATGACCTTTAAGGTCCCTTCCAATCCTGACAGTTGTGCGACTCTATATGATCATTGAGTCCATCCATTAACCAAACACTGACACGTCCTTGGCTAAACTATGTCCCTAGGAGCTGTGCTTGCTCGACTCTTAAATCCTTCCAGGGAAAGGGAATTCACCACTGCCTTGGGCAACCTGGCCCAACGCCTGATAACATTTTCAGCAAAGAAATTCTTCCTAATGTCCAATCAAGACTAAGCTCTGGTGTAATTTGAGCCCATTTCCTCTTGTCTTGTCACTTGTTACTTGGTTGAACAGACCGATCCCCACCTTGCACCATGCTCCTTTCAGAGAGTTGTAGAGAATGAGAATGTCTCCCCTCAGCCTCTGCTTCTCCAGGCTGAAGAACCTCAGACCCCCCAGCCGCTCCTCATCAGACTTGTTCTCAACACCCTTCCCCAGCTTCTTTGCGGTTCTCTGGACCCACTCCAGCACCTCAATGTCCTTGTTCTGAAGGGCCCAAAACTGAACACAGGGTTTGAGGTGTGGCCTCACCAGTGCTAAGTACAGTAGACAATCCCTGCCCAGGTCCTGGGCCACACAATTCTTGACAGAGGCCAGGGTGCCATTGGCCTTCGTGGCCACTTGTGCACACTGCTGGCTCATGGACATTCACTGTTTGCTTCCTCCACGTGCATGTCTACCACCACCATGAGGTGACACCTCTCTTACCTTTCCTTCCAGAGCCTTCTGAGATCCGGCTGGTGAACGGCTCAAATCGCTGCTCCGGCAGGGTCGAGATGCTGCACAACCAGCAGTGGGGGACGGTGTGTGACGACGGCTGGGACATGCGCGATGCCGAGGTGGTGTGCCGGCAGCTGGGCTGTGGGGTGGCGATTGCTGCCCTGGGCTCGGCACGGTTTGGCCAGGGACGCGATTCCATCTGGCTGGATGATGTGAACTGCACGGGGACCGAATCGGTGCTCTCTGACTGCAGGGCCAGACAATGGGGATTGAGTGACTGCAACCACGGTGAAGACGCTGGTGTGGAGTGCTCAGGTAGCTGCTGTTCCTCTGCCAGTGAGCTCCTGGGTTCCAACAGCGCAGGCAGTTCTGGAAACATTTTTGTGCTTCTTTGTGTAGCTCAATCCTGCAATCTCCTATTCTTGAGTTAAGTCAGTTGCTGAACATGTAGGGATTCCCATCTGACATATCATAGCATTGCCCAGATAGCTACAGGCCTTTAAAATTATTGATTCCAGCCTTTAACCAAACACTGGTATGTCCCTGACTGAACCCTGTCGCCACCTGCTGTGTCTACCCGACTCTTAAATCCCTCCAGATTCAGGGAGTTCACCACTGTCTTGGCAACCTGTTCCAATTCGTGATAACGTTTTCAGCAAAGAAATTCTTCCTAATATCCAATCGAAACGTCCCTTTGGTGTAACCTGCACCCATTTCTCCTTGTCCTATTGTTAATTGGTTAGAACAGACCTACCCCCACCTCACTCCACTTGTCCCGTAGCTCTAGAGAGTGAGGACGTCTCCCCTCAGCCTCCTCTTCTCCATGATGAGTAACCCCAGATCCCTCAGTTGTTCCTCATCAGACTTGTTCTCCTTCCCCAGTTTCCTTGGCCTTCTCTGGACTGACTCCAGCACCCCAATGTCCTTCCTGTAGTGAAGGGTCCAAAACTGAACACAGGGTTTGAGGTGTGGCCTCACCAGTGCCGAGAACAGGGGATAATCTCTGCCTGGGTCCTGGTGGCCACATGATTCCTGATGCAGGCCAGGGTGCCGTTGGCTTTCTTGGCCACCTGAGCACAGTGCTGGCTCAGGAACATCCAACACTTGCTTTCTCCACGTGTAGGTCTACCACCACCACGAGGTGACACGTCACTTACCTTTCCATTCCAGAGCCTCCTGTGGTCCGGCTGGTGAACGG